CACACATGCACCAAAATGGAGTAGACCACACTTCTTTGTAGCAATGTAGTGCTATTTTTATTTTCCCTGTCATAGCTTGCTGCCTTCATATGGCAGGAAATGACAAGTCCCTGCCCACCATAGCTAAAGGACTTGGCAAGTACCCAAAAAAAAAGTTGAACAGACACTGGCCTCCAAAACCTGCAGTTTAGAAAAAAATAATATTTTTAAAATTAAATGTACCTGCTGGTTTGCTCCCTTTTATTTGTGCCACGGGCTAATTGTTTATCCCCTATATCATTATTCACTCAGAGAATAAGGCTAGATTCCTGAACACCAGTGGCCCTATGGAATTAATTTGGGCTAGGGTGACTTTATATGTAAGTTAAGCATTGGCTTGCTATTTACTTATATCTAACTTCCTTCCCTTAAATATATGGTGTGAAAATCTAAACAGAGAAAGTATTTCTAAACCATAACTTATGACCATAAATAAAATAATTGTTAATGATGTTATTTGCAATATTTGGTTGCTTTTTAATGATTTTATTTCATGAGAGTGAAAACTAAGCAACTAGCCAATTCTTGAAATTGATTTAAATCAAGTTCAATGTATTTTTTGCCTGTTTCTTTTGTAAAATTTAAACAAGTTTTAGGGGAATGATGTTTACCTCTAAGCTATGGCAAAGAGCCTGAGTTCAGATGTCCCTTTGGCGTACCTAACAACATGAGTATTTGTCAGGTGCAAAGAGATTAGAAACATAACTCTGACGTTCAGAAACCCAATTGTTTGTTTCAGCGATTGTATCAGTAACAGTTTAATTACAAATATGCACTTTCTGGTTATTTTTATTTTAAAATAACCATCAAGTGGTTATATACTTTCATCATTTGTTCTGTGATAGGCCTCTAGTCTACTTACCTACTTAGCTAGCTATCTGTCATTTAGACAAGCTTTTCCAGATAGGATCAAGGAAGGTTAAAACAAATAGCTAGCAATCTTAAGTGGAAATTTATCTAAAACTGGGACACTTCTATTTCCCTGCCCTTCCCAACATTAGGAACATCACTGATAACACCAATAGCTCAATGTTTCAACTCTGAAGTATTCTTTAATTCCTCCCTTCTCTCTTCAATGCCTTCTATTTAGACTTCTACTGAGTTTGTCTGACCTTCTCCGTAATATTAGTCTGATTTAACTTGTGCTTTGCCTATTTTCTTGCTCTACTTACCTGAATTATTTAACTCTCAAAACCTCTGTAGGTATGCTATCATCACATTCTATATACCACACCAAGGTATACATCTTCATGAAATCTCTTTTGCCTGAGAGGATGAGTAGTAATCTTCATTTGGAACCTCTAAATCTGAGAAAAGTTACCCAAGAAACACATCCTACACACCACACACAGTTAGTACTTTCTATACTTCATAAGTGAGTTCAAACTTTTAGGACATGGGATTCCCCACAGTGATAATGTTTTCTTTAAATAATAAATTTTTTAAAAATCAGGAATCCAAATGAGTTTGTCTCTCCAAACCTGTCACTGTGAAGGTCTATATGCGTATTTCAATTTTTGGAATTCTCTTTTAGAATTACACTCAGAACATGCATCATATTCTTTAGAATAATTTTACGGGTGACAAATCTTTGATTTTTAAGGGTAGGTAAATTATTGGGAAACAATCAAAAGCCATTAATAGCCAGTCTGAACAGTGAAGTTAGAGATCAAGTAGAAAAAATGTCATTTTTATTCAAAAGCATGATATGACGACATTGTTTAAAGACTCATTTTTTCTTGATTAGATCAAACTAATTCCAAAGACAATTTCAAAGAGTATGAGAATATTTGGTGAAATACAGCATCATTAAGATAAGCATACAGCCTTGTGAAGTCACCTTCAAAATGATGACATTTATTTGAAAGTATAAGTTGTGGTCTTTACTTAAATTAGTCATAGACTGAGAATGAGAAGTCTTGAATTCTTATTCTACCTCTGAAATTGAATGCCTGTGTGACACTGAGAGAGTAACTTAATTTCTGTGGGTCCCCATTTCTTCTCTAAAATAAGCATGTTAAACCGACAACTTTTAAAGGGAATTTTAGCTCTAATATTTTGTCATTTTACTTCTGGGTTTTAAATAGCCTTGGTTCTCCATGCCATATACATTTATTCATATGTATGGGTATATAATATTATATAATATCCAAATATTTGATAAATAATAAGGCATGATTTACAGTAGGCAAGAAGAGCATGGACTCTGGAGCCAGTCTTACTGGATTCAAACCTTGTCTCTGCTACTTCTTAGTTGTGAGGCTTTGGGCAGGTTATTTAAATATTTCTGTGCCTCAGTTGCCTCATCTGTTAAGTGAGATGATAATAGTACCTACCTCTATGAATATTTAATGAGTTAATATTTATAAAGCTCTATAGTAAGTACTATATAAATATATAAAGTAAACAAATTCTTAGCATTTTATGCAGTGGAAGATAACTGTGTGCATACACAAATGTTGTGGCCAAAGGTTGAATGCCATCTAAGGTATCTAGGAAAAAATAATTTAATAAATTTTCATGAATATCTTTATACATCTATGAATAAATGTTTTGCTGTTTTGGTTTGTTTTGTTTTTTGTTTGGTAGTAGTAGTGGTTGGGTCTCTCTCTTTTACTCTCTCTTTCTGTAACTAGACTTCATACCTTGATTAGGGATTTTCATGTCTATTAATAAATGGAAATGCACTTGAATTTCCCCCAGTTAATTTGAATTTTGTATCATAACAGGATTGCAAAGATGAACCGGCAATTTCTCCTGTTAATACCTCCAACAGAGGTATAGTACTTCATTTTAGCCAATAGATTATTACTTTTTCCTATGTTTAATCTTTAAACATTTTTCTGGGTACATAGTAGGCATACATATTTGTGGGATACATGAGATATTTTGATACAGGTATGCAATATGAAATAAGCACATCATGGAGAATGGAGTTTTCATCCCCTTGAGCACTTATCCTTGGAGTTACAAACAATCTAGTTGCAGTCTTTACATTACTTTATAATGTACAATTGATCATAGTCACCCTGCTGTGCTATCAAATAGTAGGTCTTATTCACCCTAACTTTTTTTTTTTTGTACTCATTAACTTTTAACAATAGAAATATGCCACTGTCGGCTGGGAGCAGTGGCTCACGCCTGTAATCTCAGCACTTGGGGAGTCTGAGGTGGGCGGATCACGAAGTCAAGAGATCGAGACCATCCTGGCCAACATGGTGAAACCCCATCTCTACTTAAAATACAAAAATTAGCTGGGCGTGGTGGCACATGCCTGTAGTCCCAGCTACTCAGGAAGCTGAGGCAGGAGAATCGTTTGAATCCAGGAGGTGGAGGTTGCAGTGAGCCGAGATTGTGCCACTGCACTCCAGCCTGGCCAGCCTGGCGACAGAGCAAGACTCTGTCTCAGAAAAAAAAAAAAAAAAAAGAAATGAAATATGTCACTGTCTGTGTAGGCTACCCTACCTAACATGAATCACTAATATATTAATATATGAATGTTACAAACAATATGCTTCAGACAGGTGCCTACTTTTTTATCCCTGTCTCACTGAGCTTTCAACTGTACTCATCCTGATTACATCAGGGGAAAGGGCTCAATTGGTCTTGAACAGAGGTTCATTTCCCTTTCATGAGAAAGTCTCACTAGAAAGAAATAATGGGATGGCCTAAACGAAAAAACAAAAAAAAGAAAAAAAAAAAAGAAAAGGAAAAAAATGGGGCCGCTTTAATTTGGCTTCCAGATACCCATAAACCCATATATTAGTTTGGTGCAAAAGTAATTGCGATTTTTGCCGTTACCTATATTAACTGCAAAAACCACAATTATTTTTACATCAAACTAATATTAAATACTTGTATAAATCATGAAGGGGATATGTGCATTACAGGAGTTTTATTAACTGTTAGAACTCTTACCTCCTGGTTTGAACTATAACATAATGCTACAATGATTGGGGTGTTTTTTCCCCCATGTTTAGGTGAACTGTACAGTCATTTGTTCATGATTTTTCAAACTAGGCTCAAGCATTAGACATGTTCCTTTACAATGATTAGATATAAAGGTTTGTGCTTGGGCAATACACTTCTTCTAAAAAGAGATTCCAGACAAAGAACTAAAAAGCAAACAGCATAAACACTTGCTGCTCTGAAATCTGCATCTTCCAAATCTGCCCCTAACCTAATACTTACCAATCAATGAATAGAAATTTGCCAAACATTCAAGTGATTCACCTATGGCTACTGTAATTTTTCTTGTCCACAAACAGCATCAGCTTTCTCAACATACACACATATTATAATATTGTATGCATGTAGAGTGGCCAGTGTGTGCTGAGTGAGATTATATTATATAAGTTTAACATTGAAAGCATGTATTTAATCTGTGCATAGACTTACTTTCAAAATAGGAATAAACACTGTGTACCCTAGTTTCCCAAATCACCTTTTGAAGCTAAAAAGTAGGTCAAACAGCCCATAAAAATCAGCGCCAGGACTAGTGTTAGATGAGTGAGGCACTTTCCTTGGACACAAAATTTAAGGGGTTGAAAAACAACTCAGTAATGAAGAGAAATAGTATTTCAATGCAGTATTTTTTAAATTGAAATGGATAGAAATATTCACAGTAAACAAAATGTCAAGATAGTAAATAAAGACAGGATCAGTATGACTGAGTATTTTTTCTTTGTCTCAGGCAAAAAAGACTCAGCAGAGCACTATTGAAAAGAATGCCACATTTTATCAAATACTTCAGAAACTACAGCTTTTCATGTTCTGTAAGAGTGTACATCTTGATTGCTAGAACCAGGATATTGCCTGGTAATGGTAATCTATCAAGTAGACCAGCAAATGTGCAACATGTGGCTAGCAAAGGCTCTAATTATCTGTCCAGGACCCACAGGGTAAAACAGTATTATTTTAGGAAAGATGCCGAAATAGAAGTCAAGATCATATTTGACTACCTGCTGTTTCCTTCGGTGCTGATGGAACTTCTTAATCAGAGCAATAGGGTCTCCTGACGAAGCATTGGAGAATCTGGCTCGATTAATTCATTCATGCCTTAAAAGACATAGAAAAGCAATGGTCAGGTGCAGCATGGAGAAGACGCTCAGAGAGGGCTGGGAAATTTCAGCAAGTGGATGCTAAGATCTCAAAAATCAATTACCACAGGAAAAGGAGAGTATATTGAGTTACACTTAGTCATTAGTGGTAGTGAAGTAGAGTGAGTGAGAATCCCTTTAGCAGTTGGCATCTCTTTTTGACATGGCAACTTTTGGAAAGAGTGAGCGAAGGTAGGAATGTCGGTGGAAGGGTTCATGTGTCACTTCCTGGTCACAAGGAACCCTTAACTATGGTGAACTATGTTAGAAAAATCACACAGCCTCTTGTTAAACTCATAATAAAGTTGAAGTGTAAAAGCTGTCTTTTTCTCAGTTAGTGATCTTTTCTAAATAGTTGGCATGACCACAACTGTTTCATTGATTATTAAGTACATGTGGAGGGAGATCCAGCTGGCCAGTGGTTGTCAGCACAGCTGATGCTAGGAGACAAATTAATTTCTACACAAAGCTGTCTTACATGTACCCTTAAAATGCTTGTAGATAGTTTCTTGTGTATAGTGATTTAGGGACACCAAAAACCATACTCCAGCTTCCTCTGCTCTGCTTTACCTAATGATCACTTGCTGAAGCTTGTAATCTTGCCAGAAATGTCCCATTATAGATTCAATCCTTTAAGAAACTATGTGTCCAGAAATCTACTGATAAAGTGAAAATACTACAAGAAGGGATTATGTATTAGACTATTAACTGTAATCAATCAGCTAAGCTAGATTTTCCTTTAGAAAGTGGAAGAAATGAAATACAAAGAATACATTTTACTTGGTAGAATGAATTAAAGGAACATAGAGTGGGACAGTTTTAGGTGGGTGACATAGGAGGATTACTTGAGATGCCAGATCATAAGGGTTAGCAAAGGATCTTGCAAAGGGAAGGAGAAGAAGAAGGCAGGAAAGACAGAGGGAAGGCATCCAATGCAATATTTTCCACCTACACAAATTTGCTTCAAGTTAATCCTTTTAACACGATGATTTTTATTTAGAATGATAACTTTTGAAGGAATCCTTTGAAAGAGACTTGCGTTCTAATGCCAGCTTCATTTGAGTAATCTTCAACCAGTCGTTCTGTTTTTCTCTCTCTCTCTTTCTGTTTCTTCCTCATGTAAAATGAACAAAATAATAATGCCTACTCCTGCGGAACATTGTTAAGATTACAAGAGATATCATAAGTAAAAACCAATAAGTCCGGGTTTGGCACATAACAAGTGCTCAATAAATACTACGTATCCTTTTCTTCTTTCCTCTAGCACCTAGTAAGTAGAGTACTAGACACATTAAAACATCTTAATAAATCTTTTTTAATAGAGGAGGAAAAAATAGTGATCAGGATTTAACACACAGTAAAGTTAATTTTAAATTATTTTTGTCTTTGAGAGAGGGTAACAGAGTGGGAGAAACAGACCAAGTAGAAGATGGGAAACCAAAAGGCAGGTCCAGAGGCCCAAGAATCCAAAGCAGCTTATCATGTGGACTAGGAAAGAAAACCTAGGCCGTAAGTTAAAGTGACAAAGTTATATTCCTTGCTGATAGTTTGTTGTTTGTGAAGACAGAACCAGAACAGCTCAAGCACCACTTTAGTGTGTCAGATATTTGAGATCAAACTAGAGTAATAGTCTGCAGGGACAGAGTTTAGTGACTGAGCAGGATCATAGATTAATCATAAACACCAGACAAACGTAGCTGGCTAGAAGCAGATTTTATTGAAATAGCGAATATTCTTAGGTACTTTTTAATTTTTAATCATTTGATTTGTTATACTTTATGAACAGGAGTCAGTTAAGATATCAAAGAATGGATTTTGTTTTAGAGAGTCACTTCATTATTTTTTTTTTCCAGGATAGCCATATACTTTAAAACTAATCTGCTTTACTTGCAAGCTTTTACAAATCCCAAGATAGGTGATTTAGGCTGAGAGAAACAGGGTGTATGGAAAAGAGCACTAATCAGAGACATATGACACCTACCTTTTAGTCTTGATCTTATCACTAATTAGTGGTATGACCTTGGGAATGTCCCTTCTATCTCTTGATCTCGGTATTTCATCTGTGGAATGAGGGAGCTACTAGATTATCCCTAAGGTTACTTTGCACTTTTATAGTCTAAGTCTAGTAGAAAGGTTGATTAGACAGATGGACCCAATTCTTGATAAATATTGGGGAAGATGCAAAGAAACCCTGTGTTCTTCCTCCCCAGTGCATTATCCTTCAGGCCTGACTGAATCATCACACCACAACTTTAACTGCCTGGGCTCTATATCCAATCCAAGACCCATAGTCGTAAGCAGGCTTTTCTAGTTGGCACAGATTTGTTCCTCTCACGGACTACTTCCCATCAAAATATCCCTTATAGCCAGTGTTTCTACTTTTATGCTTAAAACTATTGAGATGTGATAAGTGGATTTAAGCTAATACATTAATGAGACAGAACTAGAAAATAGTATCCAGGACATTCACAGGGAGTGTGTAGGAATTTTCCTAGCAGCCTTTCTTAAATAAAAACATAGGTACCATTGCAGTTCTAGACCAAATGGAGCACAGTAGCATGAAAGGAGAGTAGGGGAGAGGTTATAGTCAGCTTGAATCCCTCATATCATACACTGGAGCCTTTTCAACAGCCTATATATGGAGTAATTAAACAAGTTCAGTCAGTGCATATTTAATGAGCACCTTGGGTAGCATGTCCCATCCATTGATAAGTTCAATGGTGATGTAGATAACGATTAATGAGCCTTATAATATTTTCTTATTTTCTGGAAGTACTGATTCAGCATTTTAAATAAAAATTAGACTTTATTAATCTTGATTAAACCTTCACTAATTTTGTATTAAGTTCTATGAATGCTCTGCTTTATACAAACAAGGCAGCTGAGGCCCAAAGAAAGTAAAACTCATCCTGAGTTATATAACAACTTAATGGCACAATCAGAACTAGAACCTAAGTTTTAATTCAAAAGGCTTTTGTTCATTTCCTCACATCACACTTCCTCCCTACTACACATTCTATACTATGTGTGTAGCTATTTCTCTTTCCTTCATATGGTCAGACTATCTAAATGTAACCTTTATGTTGTTAAAGACTGTCAATTTTTTACGTCAAATACCAGTGTACAAATCACCAGCAACAAGTGTCCCTTTGTTTTTTTTCTACAATGATATAGAAACCAATATTCTTAACTGTATGCAGAAGAAACCACAACCTATTCCTGTCCGTTCCCCATCTCTCTCTCTCTAATTCTACCTTACCCCATGCAGAAACAAAGATATTCTCTTTACATTGAGTTCATTCATTTCTGTTGGCATTCAAGACTGGAAGAAAGTGACTAAAATAAGACAAATGTTATTTTTACTCTTTGGCCCATTTCCTGCTGCTGCAGTTTGCTAAACTATCAAGCTAGGACAAAATAATGGAGTGATGAGATGAACAATACCTTGCTGTAAATCAAGTAATCATGCTATATATCGCAGAAGATAACAAGAAATGAGACATGGCCCCCGCCCTGGAAAATCTGGCAGAAGTGACACAACAGAAAAAAAGAGAGATGTGTAAAATCAATTGCTAGATTGGGCAGGTCAAATGTTAAGCTTGTAGAAAGCTGCCATATATTTAGAGTAGAAACATACAACATACCTTAAAGTGGTTGGACTATTCCATACAGCATTTCTAAAAACAGCAATTCACTGATCCATAAAAGTTATGCCTCTATTTCTCATTTATTCAGCTGCAAGCCTTAGAACTATTTTGCTCCTCATAAGCACTTCAATCTGCAAGCTTAACCAGGCATAATGCTGACATGTGCAAAGGGAAATTTGTCAGGTGAAAGGCAAGTACAACTCAATGTTCCTAGAGTGATTTCAATCCATTAGCACAAGGTATTTTGCAAATTGCACAGAGGAGCTCTGGCAAAAGAAATACAAAGTCCCTGTTCAGTATCTACATGGTGATCCATACCCTTAAGAGAGAAGTGTCCTCAATTATACCATTTTCTCAGATAGAGAAACTGAAAAATGAGGGAGCTTAGTGCCTTGTTCAGGATATACCTCTAATCAGTCCCAAAGGAGCATGAGTTCAAGCTTGTGATTGGTGCCTGCTGAAAGCATAATTTAGAAGAGAGTTTAGAAATTGATGTCCCAAGGTTCTTCCTCTATTTCCTCTTGGATAGGGAGCACAGACAGAGGAGGCGAGTGTGTAGAGAGCAAGAGAATATGTTGGGAAATAATTAGCATTATCAGGAGACAGACAAGCCTAAAACTTTGTTATTGTGTTTTTGTTCTTTTAACTCAAGATTCGATAACTCACTGGATCAGATGGTTACCACACTGAGCTCCTAAACTTAAGTATGCGATTAGATTCCAGTTAATTCTCTCTGTAACATAGACACAGAGTATGCTCTGAAACAAGAACAGGTGTCGTATAACTCCAAGTCCTTGATCGTAAGGAAAAAGCTTACTCACAAATATAAAAATAGTTCTATCCTCTTTCTGATGGTTGATGTGTAAACTTGATTTGCATATGAAGGATCCCATGTTTTCCCCCAAATTCGAATTCCTTATAGCCAATATAGAATGCACTAGGAAGCCAGCAAACAAGTAAACACATAAATTAATCTATTGCTGCAGAACTGTTTAGGAGAGCCTCTGAGTACAATTTTTTGAGCCCTTTCCTTTTGTTGATACTAACTTGCATCTAAAACCACACATTGTGTTCTAATTTCTAACACAGGCTTATATCTGGAGTTCAGAACCTTTGCTCTTAAACCTTAGCATGCCATAAATTAGATTACACAGAATAAAGCAAAAATTCTAATATGATTTTCTTTTTCCATTATGTCAGCTTAAGTGTAGATGAATGGTGATTCTGTTTAAGGCAAAAAGTTCCATGAAGTCACACACCTTCTTCCTAAATCTCTTTTGTATAATCAGAATTAATTTGTGTTAGCTTATCTTCCTCAAGTAAGTAAGTTATAAGAGGCAGTGGTTATATCTCGTAAAAATAGAAAACACATCATAAAGAATGGTTGAAGACAAATAAAACATTTAATTTTTGCTTTTTACAATTCTCAATTTTATTCATTTCATTCCCTATTCCCTGCCTCCTTTTCCTTGTTCACCTAGCCTAAATTCAATAAAATGACAGCCTGTTTTGAAATGGGTACATCCTCAATTCTTCTATTACCACCTCTCTTGATTCTCAAGTGGAAAGGGACAAGATAGTGAGTTATAGCTTTATCATATAGAGACAGCATAATATAAAGAAAGAGCTTTGACAATCAACAGAATTGGGTTTGAAACTCAACCAAGATAGGTATGTTTATCGCATAGATTGTGGTGGTGGTTTCCCAGGTATATATTTATCTCCAAACTTACCAAGTTATATATATTAAATATACACAACTTTTTATATGCTAATCATACCTCAATAAAGTGGTGTTGAAAAAACAGTTGCGTATCATTGGACAAGTTATGTAATTTCTTGAACATTAGTTTCTTAATCTTTAAAATGGAGAAAATAAATATAGTTGTTGTCAAAATGATGTAAGGCATCTTGCCCAATGCTTAGCATATCATAAGTGTACAATTTTAAAAATATATATTACTTTTGATGATAGGACACTAAAACTAAAAGAGCCAGTAGTAGATAAGCTCAAAAAACCTGCTAAATCTTAGTTTCTGAGTAGCTGCTTAGATATTTTATAGCTTTTTCTAGAGTTATTACTAAAAATATACCTGATTTAGAATAGAGTATAAGCTCTACAGGAAAAAAAAATCTGTATCAAGGATGGTTTGAATCTGATGCTGACCTTTAGTTCATGATGAGACTTTGGACCTGCCTTGAAACTCATATATGGAGCTGTGAGAAGGCTCTCGGAACACATACATGTACGTCCAAAATCCAATATCATATTTGAAAACTATTATTTTCCCTTTGCTAAAGAAACTAGACTGAACTCCCAGAGATACGGGAATAGAAAAAGGCCACAGACTCAGAATTCCCCATGAAGAAAATAAAGTCATTACGCTTATGAGTGAGACTGAGCAAACCAAACCTAATTTTCATTCTACAATAAATTATTACAATCTAAATGTAATTCCTCACTCAGGAAAGGGTTGTATGAAATTAAATTTTTATTTTTAAAACAAATTTTTAGATACGAAACCAAATCAATTCTTTTTAATTAATGTGCTGAAATTTTGCAGGAAAATATAAAGAACTGATCACCACTTCTTAGAAGTATTTCATATTATTTGACCCAATATGACAAGTGGGTTAAAGCATGCAAATGTTAAATAGATTAAATTTAAAATTTTCAAAGCAACATCATACAGTCTTTAGAGGGTCTATATTTGGGTGATTTACTATCGATTTTCATTTCTATTGTGTGTCCAAAATTTTTCCAATGAGTGTCCAAGTGTGTCACTAAATGAAAATTATGAAGAGAAGATTGCATCTCTATGTATTGTGTTCAAGAAGCCCATACAACAGAGGTTCCACAGCATTTGAGGAGGAGCCAGCCTGATTAACCACCATGCCCATATTCTTCAGATATTGATTTAGCCTATAGTTTTACTCTGGCCATTAATGTTTGGCCCAAGTACCAGTCAAGGAATAACTTATAACCTGGGGTGATCAACTTTAATAATTTTTTTCTATTGGACTATGTCACAGATATTTTCAAATTTAATGATTCCCAGAGATCAGTTGGTTTTAAAGTTTCTGAGTAAATTTTCCCCTGGAAAAGACCCAAACAGACACAAAGATAATATTTCTTAATGTAAAATTCTTAAAACTGTAACTTAGAACTAAAGCAGTCGTTAACAAGTAATTATACATCAAATATAATCCAGGTTATAGTCTCTATTCTGAAAAACAGCCCTTTTCTCTCCGCAGGTTACAGAATGCCCTCATAGGGTTTACTTAACCAAACTTCCTGGAAAAAAAAAAAAAAAAAAAAACCTGAGGGAGGTTTAATCTATTCTCTATAATCAAAAAAGCCTTTCAGCAAGATGTCAGAGCAAAATTGGGTATCCCCAAATCCAATATATGATCACTCACTCAGGATAACTTGGGCCACAAATCTGCCTTCCCTAAATAAACCGGATGGATTATCTAGACCAACCAGTTTACAGTCTAGTCTGTTACATTCATAGTCTGCTTCAGCTAAGTAGAATTATTTTTTTTAACCCTAATAAACTTTTAAAAGTCATAGCATTTCAGAGAGAAAGGTATTACTATACCAGATGTCTTCATATGCACTGTGACTGCTTTTGATACAAAACTCTATTTCTACTGTCAGTAGTTCTTCTTCAGAGAGACTAATGCTAGGTCAAATCACTGAACTTTCCTTTGTTAAATTGAGTTAGTTTTATGAAGTATTACAAAATCAGAACTACGTAGTTTTAGCCCTAACTTTCTTAGAAGAGAGAGAAGTTAGCAGGTAATTTATAATTAGAAGGTATAAACATAAAGGGGGAAAAAAGGTAAAAATAAAAACAGATCCCAATAAAAACTGGACCAAAGAACACAGAAGCAGAATGCTATTGTCATAAGGATGTGGGAAAAAAATGTTAAAGAAATATTTCTTTAGAAAATTAAAGGAGTAAGTCCTTCAGTATGAAAATTAATAGGGGCCATGAAACTATAGATTAAAATAAAATGCAAATTTAAAAAAATAGACTCTGTGGGCTTTTTCGTCTCAGAATATATTTTGCTTATAATATTTAATTGTAAAAACGTATCTGAGAAATAATAAATCAGTCTGTCTTCTACATGTTATTCATTTTTCAGCACACCATTTGGCCTGACACTTCAAATAGAGTAGACACCTAAAATAACACACTTTTAGTTTTAAAGAAGAAGTAACTTGTAGGTCATCAGCATTACCTAAAATAGATTAAATACTTTGAACAGTAAAGGATTTCATCACCGTCATCCTTTACTTAAGTTGTTAGAATTATTTTATCATACAGAAATACGTCACTGGGGCCAAGTGCAGGGGCTTATACTTGTAACCCCAGAACTTTGGGAGGCCAAGATTGGGAGATTGCTCAAGGCCAGGAGTTCCAGACAAGTCAAAACCCTGTCTCCACAAAGAAAGTACAAAAAGTAGCCTTGCATGGTGGTGCGTATCTATAGTCCCAGCTCTTTGGGAGGCTGAGGTAGGAGAGTCATCTGAGCCCGAGGGGATCAAGTCTGCAGTGAGCTGTGATCACGCCACTGCATTTCAGCCAAGGTAGTAGGGTGAAACCCTGTCTCAAAAAAAAGTCATTTATTTATAAGAAATATCTGGTAACATGTGATTGACTTATAAGAAATACTTGAATCTCATCTGCCAAGTAAAGCTGAAAAAATTTTTAGCTAAATAATAATAACAATATTAAAGCCTTTCATCATTGCTGAGAATGTAGATAAAATCTTATTTTCTGCCCTAAGTAGCGTGACATTTTGTAAAAGCTTTTTAAAGAAACAAATATTATGTCAGGAAGTAGGAAAGGCGTTGATGGGCATTTTTGACTTGGTGAGACATTTGCATATATTTTAGGTTTCCAGTGAGGTAGTATTTATGCTATCCAAGACACAACTGAGTCTGAATTGGCAACCCTGGCTCCCACGGTGGGAACAAGTCACGCTTTTGCATGACCCACATAATTGAACCTGATAATGGTTAAATTTTAGTTTCCTCACTAGATAACTAAATTTAGTGAACTTCTTGACCCATAACCAAGTTTCCAGAGTCTATACAGACTTGATTTTGGCTAATATCTTGCATATCTGATTATTTGTCAGGAGCTCTGTCTGCATCTTGATCTCTGGCTGCTGCTAATGCAGCTGTTGCTGCAAAGTAAAGTGATGCCTCTGGAACACACTCTTTGTTAATCTTTCCAAGACTATACCAGAAGAACCCACTTTAATTTTCACATCTCAGATAGCCCTTTGTTATATGACAAACATTAGTAATATTTAAGCCACTAATTACTGCATTCCTTTTCAGGATTCACATACTATAACATACTGTATGTATTTATCTTCCTCATGCTCTCACCTTAGTTGATCAACCGTATGTGCCTGTTTCTGTCAGACAAGATACCCTAAAATCTTCACTCCTTTCTCAAATCTGGAATCTCCTACACCTCAGGACCTCCTGGATACTCTCTCTTGTCTAATGAACTGGCTGCATTGTTGCTCTGACACTCAATACAGCACATACACTTCTAGTATATGGCCAGGTCTTTCTTAATCTTGTATTACAGCATCTAGCATCAATTTGTACTTTGATTTTTGTTTGTTTGTTTTTGTTTTGTTTTGTTTTGTTTTGTTTTCTATGAGCACAGTAGGAAAAACTCTTTCCTATTATTGGAAGGAAACAGTGGTAAAGCCCAGCAACTCAAGGTCTGTTACAATACTAGGGCCTTTGGGGGAAACCTGAAGTGTGCCTGATATTGAGAGATTCTTGAATGCTCTCAAAATGAAATCTTTTAATATTTCCCAATGAATAATGCATGTATCTTAATCCATAAACCTTGATAGTCAGCAAGGAGAAATGAACAGAGCACTGGACAAGGTATGAAGAGACCTGGATTCTACCTTTGTCTCTGTCACAGACACACAGTGGTACTTGACCCAGTCACTTCACCTCTATGAGTCTCATTTTTTCCAGCTGTACAATGTACACTATAAACCTACTTTACTTCCCAAAGCATAAAAGTCTCAGATGTTTGCCATTGCTCTGAAAGTGACCAGAGCTGAATCTGTTTCTGACAATTTCTTATTCTCTGACTAGGGATCTGGAGACAGATTCTTGAGACCTATAGCATACAAAGAAGGTTTTGGGTGGGGAGTCACTTTAATGGGCAAGGGAAGAGGCACCTACTGTGCCCCACTTTTATCAAGATTGGGTGGAAATCAGGAAAAGGAGTTTACTTCCCTTTTTGGTTCTGGGTAGCTCATTGGTGCCAAAGTATCTATGAGCAGAATGCAGGTGTATTTCTTTGTCCTCTTCCTTTCAGTTACCTAGTACAAAGGGCCATAATGAAGTGCATTCATTCCTAGGGGTCTTCGGGTGAAATTCAGTGAGACATTGGGAGCAGTCTATGACTCGCTTTGTGTTTATTCATCTTTACATTATTCAGCATCATATTAATCTGGCCCCAACAAAATAGATACACTAGATAGTTCCTGTCTCATACACATATTATTACAAACATATAGCAAAGTAGAGCAGTACACGTGTTCACAAGTGCAAAGCACATTATCTGTAATTAAAAGTATATCCTCCTTGAACACAAACTTCTTGGCATACCCAAATGTTTGCTAGTGTGACTGGTATAATCTTGCCCTGGGTGGAAGAACTTTAATCCTCTCTATAAGTTTAATGTTTTTGTGTTTATATCTGATATTTACAGAAGCTAAAGGAAAAATGAAATACTCTTTGCTGAATGATCTTAAGCTCTCTAAAGCATATAGTTCTGCTTATTGAATAAAATTATAACTTTTTCTTTTATGAAAAATTTTGAGCAGTATAAAATAAAGTCCATGTACATTACTGTTGACAGGAGAGGATGGAGCAGGAAAGTTATTTGAGATTTAATCATGGGTCATGTTGTAACACATCCCTCCTCATTTCTCTCTCTCTCTCACATAGGAATTCATGACTTTTTTCTTTTAGTCTCTGAATGCAGCTCCTAGCAGTTACACACCATTTATAGTGTCATCATATGGTTTAAAGTCCAAAGGCACCATCCTAAACATTTCCTCTTGGAGCACAAAAAGGAGACAACATGCAAACAAGGAAATAATTTCACTTACATTTTGTCAAAGTCAATTTTGAGTATCTAGAAATGTAAATTAAATTCAAAATCATTTTAACCGTTGTTGATTTTTTAATGTGCTGATTACTTACTTTCGTAGATAGAGCTTATCTATGAAAAACAGAGCAACTGTGCCTGTTATCTTTCTTATTTCCCCTTTCTCTCATTATAAACATGTTTTCTTAAACGTGTTTGAAAGTAGAATCTTTATATCTATCATTAATTACAACAATTAACTTTTACAGTGAAAATAAGTAACTTACACAAGCTGATAGGAACATGCATTTATATTAGCTAAGGTCCTGAAATATTATATCTCTCATTTTTCAAATAATCATTCATTTTGAAAAGGACACAAAGCTAACCAGTTTAATTATGCAGCAGATAAAAATAGCACCCCAAAAGAGTTATAGCAAAGAGTAGATAAAAATTATCCTGCACCTTTATGTAAGCAACTCTACTTAATACAAATGGGTTAAATCGCAAATGTTCATAGGACTATTTTATTCAATATCAATTGAGCTAAACACATTATTAAAAATATCTCCATGTCAAACTTAAATTTTCCCAAGTTTAAAGTTGCCTCCCTCCTCTGGCAGCCCATCATACACTTGTTTTTGTTTCTTCAAATACCAAGGAAATGACATTTAAGGATGGTCCAAGTTCATTATATCCATAACCATCCTTAGACTTGACAAGTTATACAGATCTTTGTGTGAAGAGTCCAGTTCTAGATATTAAGGGAAAAATGCACAGATGAGAGCTAATTATGCATAAATAATTAGAACCTACCATTTCAGTTTCTTTCTGTTTTCTTCAGAGATCTCCAAAGAATTCATGTGACGCCCACTCCAACAAGGATGCTACTGATCTGTGCATCAATTTAAGCTCCCTGTTCTGAAAATGACCAATCCAATTCTCCTTCACTAGCCAAAGAAAGAAAGAAAGAAAGAAAGAAAGAAAGAAAGAGAAGAAAGAGGAAGAAAAAGAGAAAGAAAAGGAAAGGAGAGGAAGGAAGGAAGGAAGGAAGGAAGGAAGGAAGGAAGGAAGGAGTGAATACGGGAGAGAAGGAGGGAGGGAAGAAAATAAATAAAAGTAAAAATAATACAAAATAAAAGAAAGCCGAAAGAAAAATTATGAAAGCAAAAGGAAAAAAAAATTATCAGGAATATCTAACCACTATCATGTTGAACATAGTAGTAAGATGTCAGAGTGAAATATGCAAGCCACTCTCTGTGTACACTGAACATTTCCGTTTTCCAGGGGGCAGCCAGCGTGCTGCCAGCGTGCTCTTTTGCTTTCATTCTCTCCGCCCCCGCCCACCCCCGTTAATGATGCAGGGCTACACTACTGGCTGCATGTAGAGCCTGCAAAGCTTCACATTTAGGAAAAGAAATTCTTCTTTCTATTTCTAGGGCCACAGTTCATTGTCTTCTGTGGTTGCACTCAGCTTTGAGCTCATGATAACACACAGCCTATTTGCCTATTGAGTCCTTTGCTGAAGCTAGGAGCCCTCGAGTTGCTTCCATAGATAGTGGACCACCGCAGTCTTAGGGTGATCCTTTCTCACAGCCTCTCACTTGCATTCAGTTACCAAAGCGAAAATTCTCAAGAATGTTCCCTAGAAAGCTGCCAATAGAAGAGGTAAAGGTGAGCATGATCTCTGCCTAGGGCATTCTTGAATACACAAACCTCTAAAATTCTCACATTGAATTAAATACCGCACTCCTTAAGAGGAATCTGGAGCTATAATCCACCTTCCACTTCCTGTCCACCCACTTCCCATTGCCCTCAGGGTCCCTGTTACCAAGAAGTGCAGGTAAATCTCCATTTCTTCTTAGTAGTTAGGCAGGATCCAATGAAAAGAGGTTGGTTTTCTGCAGCCCAGACCCATTGCCACAGGCTCTTGAAGATGGTATTCCAAGGAGTCACAGAGTTCCAGACCCCTGAGACCAGTGCCACACTGTATTAGGCACTTAACACCCCCCTTCCCCACTCCCAAAGGTAGATGAACAGGAAGCAACTTGAGGTAATACCCATGACTTGGGTAATATCTCTAGATCAGAGTAAAGGGACTTTTCACATAGGCCATGGAAGAAGAAAATATGTTATTGCAAGTCCAGTCTCATGCCAGGACATACCTGTGTGGTACATTATAGGGAATACCTGGAGGGCTCTACACCTCAAAATATCACCTCCACTTTGCCTGAAACACCAATATTCTAGAGGCAAGAATTTCTTTCTTCCTTAGGTCTTGATTTTAAAATTCTCATTCTCCTAGAA